CCACTCCCTCTACCTGAGCCTAAGCCCCGAATTGCACTTTGAAAACGCGGTAATTGCGCCATGGACGTCAAACTGTTTTCTGCAGGTGATAAAGGTCCCTGCAGTACGGCTGCTGGAGCCCTACAGAGGCAATGCACAGCCCAGCCTCTGTCAGCGCAGTCACGGCGTACCCGCGACCATTCCAGCAGCTCCAGATATCGTTGCTGTAAAGCCCGTAGAAGGCGGGTCCTGCCCTGTGAGTGCAACACACCGTTCACCACTGCAGTTAACACACCAACAACCCGAGACGATTGACAGCTCCGCCGCGTCAAGAACATGACCACTACCGGGCCTCCAAACACTAGACCCTGACTTCAAACTCTACATTTTCGTTCCCAAAAAGTAGCAACACAAAAACAGAAAGGCCCGCAGCTCACCCAAGGCCTTCACCTTCATCCACTCCCACAGCGAAAGCTGCAGCGCCGCAAAAGGCACATCTCTAAGCATGGATGTTCCCATCCCCACAAAGAAGCCCCGAGGCCCTTCAAGTCGCCATACTGCTGAGAAGCCCTCGGCAGTGGTCGCATGTAGCCTTAGCTGTACCTGCTGCTTCACTACCTCGAACGGGTTGCTGGACAGGAAATAGCAGACATTAGCACACGCAAACCTGCTTAATTCAAATAGCTAACGAAATCAATAGTTGGCTCCGTGCCTGATGAGCAAATGATTCCCTCGATGCAGAGTACGCATACGGCATACGCCGAAGCATATCGAAAACTCATTCCTTCTGAGCTATGACATCCTCCAATCAAGTAGTACGATCGACAACAGGCTGCGCATACTGACGCACTTCACATGCCCTTAGCCCTGTTACGCTTCAAACAAACAAAATTGGACTGGTCCTCATGACCTAAATCATCGTTCTACGCCCTTACCGAATGACGCAGGCGCTTGTTTCAGCTATAGACGCAGCCAGGATGTGAGTCGACGCTAGTGACGAGTCTGTGTCTGCAGAGAGGCAGCAAGCCAGCAGCAGCGGCAACCTTCCCCACCAGCACGCCCTAGGATAGCTTCACGACAGGAAGCATTGCAAGTGTCAGCATGATCGCTGCAGCAGAACAATATGCAACAGCAGAAGCGGCAGAAGAGCGACACGCCACCTGCGGAGGACTGTAACGCAGCATTGCTGCTGGTTGGCACGGACTTAAACGTTTTAGCTTCTCCTTCGCCATCTCGTATGCAACAAAAAAGACGGCGGATGACGGCATACTGCCCATGGCTAGGGCTGCGATGCCGCTGTAGCACGCACCGATCGTTGTCGGCCTTCCCTTTGACTTCACACCACATGGGGTCTTCCATGTGGCAGCTGGAGCGGCTGCACTGGAAACAACATTTGGTCCAGTTAAGGCGCTACGAGCGCCAGCCCCCACAATATCTGTAGATATGCCTCTTCTTACTGTTTCAGCAGAGTCTCGTGAAGATAACAAAGGACCCGATAATGCTGCGCCTGCAGGCGGTGGTGTCGCTGGCGGTGCTACTGAAGGAGACGCTGGAACATTGACCTGTGCATGTGTCTTAAGAAAGTCAAGCGGAAAAAGAACAATGTCCGATATGATACCTGTGGAGGCCCCTGCCGCAAGGGCGACAACTGCAGCACAGCCGCACACCGAGAAAAGCATGCCTCGTCCACTGCAGCAACAGACATATCCAGCAGCACACTTCAATGTCCTGGTGGCCCCGACGCCCTAAGGCCCGATGTAACGCTTCGGCGCACCTTCGTCTTGGGATAAGACCATCAGAGTGTGGAACCGCTGGGTGCAGGGCGCTAGGAGACCATAAGTCCTCAAAGTTGCCTGTCTGCTTGTTGCCGATTGCGCTTAGGTGTTGACCGGCCCAAAGAACACGATCATCAACTGGCTCGCACAAGAAAGACAATCAGTCAAGCAGCCGCTCTCATGCGCGGTCAGAGAAAAATACGTCACATCCGAAGTGCTACTGCCGCCATTGCGGTCGGGAGGTGCATCAGTCACTGTACGCTGGCGGCTAGACGTCAAAGGTCAGATGAAGGACTTTTCTTCCAGCCAGTCCGTTTACTCATCTCAGGCTTCATTCAGGGAAACAAAGAACTTCCACAGTGGACAGGTGCAAGTGGCAGTGGGCCCAACTCAACGCAGTGGACCCCACTACAGTGGGGTTATAGCTACTGCGAAGGAACATGCATGTAAATGAATTTGAAAATTAGCTTCAATCGAAAGCTGTAGGAGCTTCATGGCTCGACTAATGCCCAGTGACAGAGAGGCTCTCCAGGAAAGGCTGGGGCTGACAGTGCAACGCAAGCAGCGTGGTAGGACACTTCCTCAACAGAGTACAGGAATATTTCTCTAGTAACCCGAGACTATTGACTTCTATCAATGAAATATTTTAGTGATAGTAAGGAGCATTTTTGAAATGGGGATAGAGTAGTGATAATTCGCTTATATCCATATGAAACCATAACTTCCCCTGCGGAATTGCTAGAAAATATACATTTCCAAAGCCTTCTCAGCCGTAAAATTTATTTACCACCCATCTGAAAGAGCGCTTTGACAATGCGTAGAGAAAAATGCTAAGTGGTTGCAGGATCGTGCTCGGTAGAGTGAGAGCAGAACTGCACTCAGCGATTGTTGCGGAGAGACCTTATTCTGCGTACTATCGGGTACTCTTTGAAGGGATAGCATCATCAGTGCAGTCAGTGTTAAATTTTACCGCTCATTTTATTCTCTCCGCCTTCTTTCAGGGTGGGCAATGGGGGCATGTCGGAGTGAGGAAAGCAGCTTCTGAAACAGATCGAAAAGTAGCAGCGAAGAGTAACATGACTTCTGCAATAGTTTACCAGGACAGGAGAAATCCGAAAACCTAGTCCTGCTGACTGGGGCCTGCAGCAAAAAAAAGAGGCTAGTAGCTCATCGATCCTGGCAATTGCAGTTTCGGGGCCCTCTGCCGAAGCTGAGGCGCGATCTACCATAACCCAACGCAGGCCATAGCTGTGATCGGATCTGCTGCACAGCGCCATCGAAAATGGGGGCTTAAGCTGTTCGGCTTCCAGAAAAGGCGGAACAATGGGCAAACGGAAAATACTAGACAGACTTTTGGCCATCGTCCCACCGTTTACACGGTCAGTCGGCTTCACCGAGCAGTTGGTTCACTATGTACTGTTTCCTGCGCCAAGACATTAAGACTGCTAAAGGTAAATTCGGCGTCAGCCTCAATATTGGCCTTGAGAAATTTCTGCAGTGTAGATCTCAACGAGCTCATTATGAGGAACTGTTCAGTCCCAATCACTGCTGCGTACCCCGTTGCAGGGGTCGCAGACACGTACAGCTGAGTAATACTGATCTATATTTTCTCTTGCACTGCCCAGATGTGAAAGTAAAAAGAGGCCGACGAGGCAGGACGCCACAACACTAGCTATGTTGAATATTTGCAAACGGAAGTTTGGCTACCAGGCTACCGAAAATGCACGTAAAGGCAGATCTTAGCTACATCCATTGAGATTAGCACTAAAATTGCGTGCATTCAAAAGGCTTCCTTGGGCTGTAGAAAGCAGTGCTTCCTGCGTTGGTTCACAAGCTACAAGCCCACTAACTCGGCACCTTCAGTTCGAAAAGTAAGTAATGACGTTGCGTAACAGATCAGCCTTATGCACTGAATGTTTTTGAATCGAGTGTTGAGCTATATTTTGCTTTGTGACACCCGCATCCTTGGATTCTTTGGTGGCTCACTCGCTTTGACTGTGCCTCAATCCGCCCAGGTAACACGAAGGCACGAGCGTTCCGCCAAATGTTCCCAATGCATCACAAGGAATACTAGGTGCCTTTTTGGGGTTTACGCATAAACAGTGACATGAGCTACAAAGCTTTGATTTTGTATATCTTGAACTCGTTGTCCCTCTCGACGTCGGTATTAAGGGGTTCCTTTGGAATGGAATGCTGCAGTCGCCTGCTGCGTCACTTCCAAATGCGTTCGCTCTACTCGGAACTGTGTAGCTACGCTGAATACTTGCAGACGGAAGCTTGGCTACCAGGCCACCGAATATTACAAGTAAGGGCAGATCCCAATTACATCCATTGACACCAGCATAGCCCAACTTCACCCAATGAATCTGCAGGATCACAACGCTGCGCCTGTTGGCGCCTGGAAGAGCTTGGCCACTGGTGAAGTCAAATGTACCAGAACAACTGCAATTGATTTTTTATAATAAACTGCATTTGCAGTTTTTCGGGCTGCTTAATGCGACCTTTGTGCTGTGCAGTGGCTTCCGACTGAGTTAATGCGTCACAGTCATTATGAGGTTGCTGCGCTACGCAAGCAAATAAGGCAGTTCCCCAATTCAGAAAAGGCTAGATCCCGTGGCTAAAAAAACAAACTTCCAGCGCTATTCGTTGGGACTGCCATCTTCGCCAGAGTAGGGGAGCTAGGGAGAGCCGTAAACTCCAATGAAGGTAGATGGCTTGTGCAGTTGATCTGGACGGGCCAACGAAGCAACGTGTATTCCTTAAGCAAGCGAGAAAATAATGTACATACATGCTGAAGGATCGCTCAAGGGTTTGTTTGGCACTGAAGAAATTGTATCGTTTCGAGTTTTTGACAGTGAAGAACTGCAGGTTCTGTTGTTTTGGTCGTTAACGCAAGGCGAATTCATGCACTCTTGTGATGTTGAAGAGCTTGCTCGAAAAATTGAGAGATAGCAGGCTCTCATAATACGAAAATTGTACGCAGATCGCTTGAATGTAATGTCAATTTTTGCCATCATACTGCCTTCAGCAAACGCTGTGGCGACAGTGGCAGGTGACCATCGTGACCGTCGGACTTCAGCGTCGGCGTACGTTGGAGTTCACCGAAAGCCTACTATCAGAGCTCATTAGGCGTTCATTCATTGAGATAGTTTCAATGTATGTCAATATATTTGGCTTGTTCCAAAGCGACTTGTCACCCTGACACACCTGTCCTGAAGGGCAGAGCCTCACACCAACATTCGGAAAATGCCTGGACGCAACAAAGATGAGAAGCTGTGCAGTAGCAGCACAAAGAGAAGAGGAGTAGAATCAACAAACTTTCAGAGGTGCAAAAAATGCCATTTCACCCAACCTTCTCTCGATGCAACCAACAGGTCTTGGTTGCAGGACACTGCAGGCAGCAGAAGGGCTCGTTGCCTCACTCCAAGTTTGCGCAATCCTAACACTGAAGGAAACTCCGTCATATGCCTACTTCAAAGGGACCTTAGACTTCAAGATAACTGGGCTCTGTTATTTGCTCAGGTTAGCCCTCCGCCGTTCGTCGCGTTCCTTTGACTGCATGCTTAAATTCCCTTCTTAATTACACCAGAGTAGGACCGAGTCGATCATGCAGATCGTTTATTTGTCCTCAGCTTTCAGGAAGCCCCAATTAAAGCAAAACATGGCCGAGTCAATCACAAGTCGTTTATTTGTGTCTTCCGCTTTCAGGATGTCGCAATTACCTTAGGGACACCTTTACATGTTCTTCACCTGGTCGTACCTGGGCACACCTTCCAGTGGACAAGTCGTCACGTTGATTTCCATCTGAAAGGTTTAGAGGAGTTTGCTGCGGGGTTGGCGGCTCACAACATTTCCTTCCACTGCCATCCCGTCGTCCAGACAGACGCTGTTGCTGGCCTAAGAGAGGCTGGGGAGCAGCTCAAAAAGATAGTGGCGCAGTTGAAACCCCGCCTGGCAGTTTGTGACCTTATGCCACTGAGGTGCGCAACATACATAGGATCCTAGCAGGCATGCAGCTGTCCGTGACACATTACTGAAGTAACGCCCGATCTGTTCCGTGGTTGTAGATGCAATATGCAAGCTTTGCAAGCCACCGCTGGTGCTGTTGCTGTGTAGCGGTCGCTTTTGCTGTTTCGCATTCATTTTGCAATATGCGGCCGCCTCTCGGTGTTGCTGTGTTGCGGTCGTTTTTGCTGGCCCGCATTTGGTTTGCACTATGCGACCGCCGCCTGCAGACTCCCCACCGAGCTGGTGAACCAGGCAACGGAAATCTGCCAGCACGAAGGCCGATGCCCCCTGTACCAAATAGATGCGCATAACGTTGTACCTGTTTGGTTGGCCTCCGAAAAGCAGGAAGTGAGAAGGATGACGAGAAGTGCTAACAATAAATGGACAGTTATTTTGAACCTTCTAAAACTAGTCAGAAATGTTAGGAAAGTGAATGAACGCAAATTTCCCTCGGCTTGCCCCCCCTAGTAGGAAGCATGAATAGCTCCAGTCTCCGCGCGTTGTGGACTCAATACAGCCGGTGCCGTTTGGTTGAGGCCTGTTCTATCTGTGTTCTGCGCCTCTGCTGTACAGTTAGTTTCATGCAGAATGCATCGTGCGCACAGCGCCATGCTTACACAAAACGTGACAAGTCCCACTATGACTAAACGTCCGATGAAAGTGTGCTGTTTCCCTCCCAGATTGCACTGCATGTCCTTACGTCGTATCTTAGCGTCACTTGGAATCCTGTGAAAAGTGTCGTATTCCCAGCAGGCTACACCACAAATATTATCGCCGCACTCCAGCATACTACGCTGCAGCAGAATCTACTTCTTACAAGCCGTTATGATGCAGCAACCTGCGTCTTGCTGAGCGCCTTCAGTACTCTGCCCGCACCTTTCGGCCACGCGTCATGCGTCTCTTGAGCGAGTTTGACTGCGAATTCCCGCCCATCAAACCTCACCCCATCAGGTACGGGCGGCCAACAGGTTTAAGCTTCAGCGCTTCGGATATACTCGAACAGCTGAAGGCCGATAATCGCGTGCAGCTTCCTCACTGCTGGAGGCCCGGTGCGGCTGCGGGCCTGGAAGCAATGAAAGTGTTCTGCACAGTGCCCAAACTTCTGGCGTACACTTCGCGAAACAACCCCGTATTGGACTCGCAGAGCGGGCTCTCTCCATGGCTGCATTTTGGACAGATCAGCGCTCAGCGCTGTCTTGCAAGTGTCAAGGATATGGGACCTGCGACGAAGATTGGGGCCACTGCAGCTGCGGCGAGGGCATCTTTTATTGAAGAGCTTGTGGTCCGAAGAGAGCTCGCCGAGAACTTCACATTCTATAACAGCAAGTACAACCAGATAACAGGGGCCCCCATATGGGCGCAGGAGACGCTTGCAGCTCACAAAAATGACAAGCGAGAGCATCTATATTCCCTTTCGCAGCTTGAAGGCTCCAAGACACATGATGAACTCTGGAACGCGGCGCAGTCACAGCTGGTCCACACGGCGAAGATGCACGGTTTCCTTCGGATGTACTGGGCAAAGAAAATCCTGGAGTGGACGCCGTCAGCTGACATCGCTCTCAATACCGCATTGCTACTGAACGACAAATTTTCACTAGACGGAACCGACCCCAATGGAGTTGTGGGATGTATGTGGAGCGTTGCAGGGGTGCACGACCAGGGTTGGGCTGAACGGCCAATCTTTGGCAAAATCCGATACATGAACTTGGCCGGTTGCATGCGAAAATTTTCCGTTGATGCGTTTGTCAGATGTGTACGGGAGATCGTAAGTAGACACGCAAAGAAGGGAACCAAGAACTGCAACACTTAAGGCTGCTTCCAGCCAGACTACAACAGACGTCCGGTAGTGTCAACAATTCTTATAAATACAGAACTAATCCTAGTGGACGTCATCATAGGCAGCTTTTCCTTCCTTGGCGGAAACTATCCAATACATGGCCAGTTGAATTCTTCTGCTCCTTGCCTCTTTTGTATGCATTCTGCCCAAATGGAGTGACGGCAGGTGCAGCGCCTAATCGCAAAAATTGTCTTGTGTCGCTGTGGAATCACCTTGAATTTAAAATGTGCAATGCGACGGTTTGACAAGCGTCATCAAGGCTCGGCTGGAATGCCCACTGTGGATGTCCAGGCAGCACCATCCTTCTTAGTAGCGGTACTTCGTTGAATAATCTTTGGGCGAAATGACCAGACCGCGGCCTTCAAATATGACACAGAGACATGTTTACACCGCTGTACAGGAAATGACTGCACACGCTAGTCCTCCTGCCTCTTCGCTACAGCCATCTCGCGCTCCCGCTTACCTTTCCGTGCTCCTCTGTAGATGCATTCAATGATGTCTATAAGCTCCTGCTTGTTGTTCATTGCCCAGTTAATCTTGTTATTGTTTCCCGTTCCCAGGTCGATCATCATATGCTTGTTTCTGCAATACGGGCAGCGCGCTAATCTCCGCGTTTGTTAGAGTTATTGCCGGTTTACCGCCGGTTTACCGTTAAGTGACGCAAAACTCTCTTTGTTCTCCAATACACAATCATACGGAAACACTCTTAAAGGCGTCAGAAAAAGCCAAGGACGCACCGGTAGAAGAACATGACAGTAACTGGGTCATACAGTTCGTACATGGTGGTGAAGTCTGGTACTTCTGTCGTGTCCACCTGAGACATTGCAGCAAAGATGGCAAACTCTGCAGTTGCAGTTGCAACTACAGGACAGCGACACCGCAGTATGATCATGTTAATAGGACTCCGCCGACGTGGCACAGCTCCTAAGATGAAGTCTCAAGCACAGTACGATCTCAAAGGTCCCCGCGGCCGTGGCATGCCTCCGAATATTACATCCAGAGCACCAAGTAGATGAAATCACTGGCCTGATGCAAATCTTAAATTCTATTTCTCAGCTGTTTAGGAATGGCTATGGGACGCTTCGAGTCGCACTGTGCGGTATTTGTGAGTACGCTTTTACAAATCTGCCTCAACCGAGAGTCTGGTCTTTACCACGTAGATAACGCAGAAATTTTTGACGTCTTCAGCCACCTTAAAGAGAAGCTCGTCCATCTTCATGCATTCGGGGTCGAAGTCATGGCCAAAGCGAATGCACTGCGCCACAGACCACTTAGCCAAGCTGATTCAACAAGTAGGAGAGGGCGCTGCATGCCGACGTGCGGCGATAGGGCACACAAACACTTAAACAGAAGTACAAATTACTTATTCCTTAGACTCACTACAAGGCGTTCTTCTTCCGTCAAGATAGCCTGATCCTGTGCACATGTCACCAGCAAGCAGTACACAAAGGTAATTACGAAGTACACAGGGCGGACCAGCGCTTGGCTGTTTGAAGAGCGATCGGACTGAAAGCTAAGAGAAAGTGAAGCTTGTCTGTAGAGACTGCTTCACAGTCCCTTGAACAGCATTAGTAAACAAGCACCGCGCAACCGGTTACAAACAGGAAGTGCATGATATTTGGAAACCAAAACATGTTGTTCATGATGAGCTAAAAGTGCTCTTGAAGCGAAAAACTGCTCAAAAACTGACCACCTGCCACCCCGAGTGGAGATGCTGCAGCATGTACGACATCGTCAGACTGGCACTGTCAGACCCCCAATCTGCTATTGCTTGCCGCAGCACGGCGCCTCAACCGCAACAAACGGCTTCCTCGGTGCCCTAAGGTTTGCGAAAATCACAAAACAGAAATAGGTTGAGCACGTATTCGCTTCTATCGCTGCACGTGGAGGACGACGGGTTCGATTGCACAACTTGTCAATCGAGCATTTCAGTGGATGTAGCGCGGATGCAGTAAGGAGAGGCAGCCGTATACGCAACGAAATAACCACAACACTGTAAAGCTCTCCAATTACATCACAACTCGATTTATTATTTCTTTTGTGCATTTAGTTCGTCTCTCTCTTCTTGCCAGCCCCATCGCGCGTTGGGGCCCTGTGACCTTCATGCTGCTCAGCCTAACTGTCCTAACGACGGAGACGCTTGATTGTGTCCGCGTGCATGAAAATAATCAACTAACTAAGTTTTCTGATGAGCGCTCCTGTCATATTCGAGCTGTACCATTCATTCTTGTAGGCTGTTCTGCGCCGCTGCACAACAAACACTGTTGGTTCCTTCACGCTGCCCGCAATTTTTTGTACGGCAGGCAAAAGCAATGCAAAAACATTAATCTGCCTACACAGATATCAACCCTATAGAAGCTTCGTGCAAATGAAGCTAACCACTAAGATTTAACTGTTGTCTGCCTTGCCACACATTCGGTATGTGCGGACGCCACGGTAGAGCTGGTTGGTGGCGGCACCAGTGCTTGAGAATCTGTCGTTGTCCATTACTGCTACTATGCTGATTCTATGTGATTTAAGAGAAACACAAGATCCGTAGTCCTCTATCTTACCCGCATTATAATAGCCCGAGAAATTAACACCAAAATTTTACGGCACGTCAGGCGGACGTTGAATGTTTTCCCTGTGCGGCCAATTGGCTCCGGAACGCTATGTTTGCAGAGTTACGGCACCTTCCTCGTAACTAATTGACATATTTGTACAGTTAAGAAATCTATGGAGGCGCTCAACTGGAGTAGCCAGTTGCGTTCGAAGTTAACCTTGCTGCCGCTCATTCAGTCTGCTTGCACTGTGGTGTAATAGACAGTTTTAGAGCAAAGATTCGAAAGCAAGCAATCATCAAGATCATGTATACATAATACAGGTCGCTAAACAAGCATCATACAACTATATAATCCTGGAAGATTCATACAGGAGATGTCCCAATGCCGTCGCCGTAGTTGAACACAATCGCCGTGGAGGGCTGCAGAGGGGCTGGCTTGAAATGAATATATTACATACAGCCCCATTACACATATCACGGAGCCAACGTTTAATTCGTGCACGGAATACTACTTTTTTCATGTGATTAACGGAGCGGGGAGACGCTCACCGCTGTTTCAGCGAAACGAAAGCAGCCATGCCAAAAGCATTAGTTCTTTTCATAAAGAGCTTAGTGGAATCTGCGATTTGTGAAGCATTGTAAACAGCAAGTATACGCTCGAGGGACTGAGCTGCTGGGATGTGCTGAGGAGTCCATACTTGTAAGAGCCACGAATGGCTCTGCCAGGGCTTCAGACTCAGGAATCATCAGCAGTCCAAAACAATATCATCTAATGACATGGGACGAAAAATATTATTAATAGAGAAATATCTAAAAATAGGGAATTTTCAAACAATTGCATATCCCCGTTCAATTCAAGCCCAATCTAATAAAGCCTTTTCTAAACACCAACCACGTTTAGCTCTAAAATTATATAATCCGCATGTTTCCTTTCCGGAAAACTGTCGGGCCTGTCCTTCGATCTGTCACGCTTCGGGCCACGCTTTGAGGGACTGCCCTACTGGCCATCAGCACGAACTGCGCAGTCCAAGTAACCAATGCTATTAAATGCAAGTTAACGCAAAAGAAGTTGGGGTGTATTCGTTGAAGCTTCGAACTATGAATCGCGTAATCAAGGAAGATCACTTGTCCACCCAGCATGTGTGCATAGAACGACGCATTTACAGTGGCTTCACTTCCGTGATAACAAGAAAAAGAACATGGAAGTCATGAGGTATTGAAAAGGACCCGTGATCCCTCTCATGCCAACTCGTCTAACTTTGTGTTTATACTGCGTTATGGTACGCGGAATAGGAACTTTATGTTGACTTTTGCGAGTCACTTCTCATTGAAACTCTTGTTTCACGTTTATCAAGTAGGATTTGTGTGCACCATGCAGCATTCCACGGAGCATTTTTCAAAGATGCCTGCATTAGTAAGTAGGGTGCACACAGCGAAATTTATCATTGACATAAGCTGCCACTGGTTGACCACTATCCGAGAACTGCGCTATTCAGCATTGTCAATTTTCTCGAACGACATCGGAGTGGGCACTTTCAGCGGGGTTTTGACCAGAACAATTAACCGTGCAGCCAACAGTCTCACGCTGCATTTATAGCTTTCCGCCCTTGGCAACGTGAAGAACGTCTTCCTTGCCCATCTCGCCTTAGGCTGAGGTTATTGGATGACTAACCACTCCCAACACAGACCATCTCACAGTAGATCTACACAGAGAGAAAGGCGCATATAGAGGACTCGCGGTAGCCCATCGTAAATTGACAGTTTGCTGCGTAATCGGCGCCACACTATTAGGTGAGCAAATGTGTGCGCCTTCCCTTGGCACAATGAGCTATTCCCAAGGCATCAACTTCTCTCTGCGCGGTCTATTGGGAACTAAGGCTTCCTTGGGCCCCATCAGTGGGCCTAGCAGCATGTATCCATTCTTGCCACAGTGGGCACTTAGTTCCCGGTTTCCAAGGTGGATTTATTATGGCATTAGCGTTGAGTTGAGTCAACTCCCTTGGATAGAGTTCTATTTGTCACGGAACTCTACACTTTTCACGAATTGAAACATCATATTTGCCCTGATATTTTTGCATTTTCTTGGAGAACTGCATACCGTTAGCTCTGCTCTTGCGGAGGAAATCTTTTCTACCACATCCTTTATGCACCGTTAGGCTTCCTTCGCAGTAAGGTTAAAGGTAGCTTCCGGTTTAAAGGTACTTCATTCGACTAGCACGTCTCAGTTGATGGTTATGTCAGGCAAGGACTTTCTGTTTCCTGCCAGCCACTGCGGGCCGTTCTCCTATCCTTCCGTGCGCAAGTCCCACTTTGCACAGCTAGAACTCAGCAACGGTTGGCCCCGGAACAGAAGAAAGGGAGTTCTGGCAACAAAGTGTCCGCATGTGCTATACACGATCACTGTATTGACTGTCAGGCCATTTTCTACGTGGCCTAGCCTCAAAGCGCTGCCAGCTACCGTGAAATGTGGAGACTTTTTGAACTTCCATGGTGCTACTTGCAGCCATCGAACTTCGCCTGGTGATGTGAGTAAGTGAGTGGCTCCGGAATTCAGCAGTGCCACAACCATGTGCGCTGACTTCCATTACACCTCGGTTGTTACTTGCTGAGAGTGGCACGGCCCGTACTGGATGTCCTTTAAGAGACGCAACGTTGTTGCGTCTGCTTCTTTTCACACAGCTGTAGGTGCACTGCCTCTGTCTTGGAAAAGGCCAGCAAGTCTGACCTCTCCCTCAGTAACTGCGGGCTTTTCAACAGCATGACTCAAAGCCTCCTTCGCGGTCCCTATCAACCCCTATTTACAACCTCAAAGAGCTACTGGGTCTTCTGTGACGGAATGCTGAGTTTCTGCAAAGCATTGTTCAACCAATAGACAAATTCGCTTGTTTCTGGCATATTCAGGTCTGTGGGACTGACTGGTTCCTGCTCAGCCTTTTGTGCGTGCTTGTCGGGTTGCCTGGATTGCACAGTAGCCGGGATTGCCACCTTTTTCGAAAGTTTTGGCGAACGCTGCGCCGATGTCAGATACTGACGCACACAAATGCAATGCTGGAATGAACAAACGCTTAGGATTAGTATTTAGCAAGTGCCAGCATACGTGGCAACGCTGGATATGCTTTTAGTCGCGGTCCCTAGTCTGGCTTTTCCCAAGCTACCGATGTTTATTTCCAACCCACGGCTGCTATGGCGTGCCGGTAATGTATTACTTAAACCATGTCCTGGCAGATACCCGACTGAAGAAGTTTGAACGCATTATCTCTACTGTTGGAGCTTTTCTACTGATGCCTGGGAGCCCGCTCTGCAGCTAATTAGAGCAGAGCCGCTTCTGCTCAAACGCTCAGGAAGCCATTTTACGTGGTTGCCAACAAAAACAACGAACGCCATAGCCTGGCGCTCCCAATTTAACTACACCCCATATTGCTCTCTGCCCACCCGCAGACTTACAGCCTTGGCAACTTAATATCCACGACGTCCATCTTTCAGGAAGTATAAGATTGATGTCTATAGCCTTCGGCTGTCCCAGAGTCTGCATTGTAATCAACTGCAAGCAGTCTTTTATGATCCTAGTGGCATTGCACAGCGCCCTTTCAAGACAAAGGATTATCTGGCTGCAAGTTTGAAGCGGAGCATGGCCTTCCGACTCTAATCGTCATTTTCAAAAGCCGTTTAAAGCTTCTTGTCAGCTGTGGCAAACGCATGCGCGGCTGCTGCTGTTTTCTTTACTGGGGTGCTTCTACTGTAAGACCTTAGGTCCGGCAAGGCGAGCTTTTTCCCACGCAGTTGTTCCAATTTACCTCTTCCAGTTCATATATAGTTCTCACGGTTTCCTCCAAAACTTTCGGGCCTGAAGAAATTGCCTATTCAACTTCTTTCTTCCAAATCTCGAACGTCAAGGGATTAGGGGCGCAAAGGCCTTTTAAATTTGTCGTGGAGGCAATCCAAAGCTGTATTCAGACCCCACTAGACCATATGCTATGCCTAGAGAAGAGTACCAATGTAGCAACCCTCAAAACACTTCGTGCTCTCGCACAGAGATTCCAGCTTTCCTGTGCAACTCCCAGCACCTTCCGGAGCTACTGCTGCACAGCCACAAGCAAGCCAGCAACCTGCGAAAACAGGCCTCTCTCTCTGGCATCTATTGCAGAGCCTCCTCGATCTGCTGAACATCCATTTCTGTGCAGTGTTTCCTTGAAAAGGCGCTTCTACCCTGTTGGTGTTGGGCTTTGGTTCAGATTATAGCTCTAACACAACAGACATCACCGAAGAGCCGGGCCTTGGCGTAATGGGCATATTATGGTAGGTTATATTCTCGCTTTGTCCAGTGTGCTTCCTGACACTGCTGCACTATTTGACTGTCACTTACTGGCCCAGAGGCTGACGCTACTGTGGCAGTAGGAGTGGCTAGGACGGCTGTTATATAAGTGCAGCACTCCGTTGCGATTGCGGCAGAAATCCGCAGAGTCCATTCCACTATCTTCGTGTCCTATGAAGGAGCTTTCTGCATAATATCTCCAGAACTTTTGCGCCAAACGGTCGGTCGGGACTTACCTTCTTCAGTATGAAGTCACCCGACCTTCCTTGAACCACAAACCACAAATCATCAATGCTGCAGTGTCGAGCCCTACACATTTATGTTATCTTGGGATTGGGCCGACAGCTTGTATGTGCCAGGCCCACGTGATGAGGCCGCACAGCTTGCTTGTGCCTTCTGCCAAGTGCAGTATAGGCAGAGGGATTCGGCATACGAAGAAGCCCGTACCTACTTCTGGTATGTAATCCCCTTACCGAAATGGCAGCTGTCGAATGCTGCGAAGACTGGCAAGTGACGTGTTTTTCTTACCACGCACATTCGAGTTTGAGGGCGGCGTGTGCTGTCGCTAGGGCAACCACGCTTGGGAACTTGTTCAGGCCATTAAATATTTGCTCGGCAATATAGTAGACCGTGCCGGGATTTTAACCAAAAGCCACACCCTGTCTGCCTTGTGAGGGCCAACTGTAGAAAACTGCTGCTTTCGCCAGTGCAGAGTAATCTTAGGCCCTGGCGGCATCTGTCTTACATCATTTGATGACGTGGCTGGCCGTGCCACAAAGGGACAAGTGTTTCGCCGTGCTCTTGATAATCACTGTGTGCTTGTACTTATCGAGCGTTGTTCACGCTTAGCTCGACCTGGATAGGAAGTTCGCCGTCGCGATGCTTGCCCAGAAGGACTGCTGGGCAACGGCCGCGACCCGTGCCCAAAAATGAGCTCCCGTTGCGCTACATAGTGGGTGCGTGTTTGGGCTCATGGGTCATGAGACTTTCCATAGGAAGCGTTTTGCCACAGTGGTTGTTTGGCATTTATTTATACTTATCCACTGTCCGCCATGCTCACTCAATTTTCACTGAATCCTTAGGGTGTGTCGACGTGGTGTGCATAACAATAGATTCACAGATATTTACAGCCATTCATGTACACTTGGGGCTTTGACATTCTTGTACTGGCTGAGCTTGGCGCCAAAAGCCTTCAAATGGAGTCATGCAGCTACGTTGCTGTCGCACAACGGTACAATATGGCGATCGGGACACGGGAGATGCACGACGTGGGTACTTCCAGTGCTCAGCTTCAGTTTTTAAATTCTGCATTACGTGTGAGCAGAAGCCAGCCAACACGAGGAAAAACCTTCAATTTGTTTTTGGGCTTCCACTATTTATGCGTGCTGACCAGTGCGTGCAGGCTTTCCCTTAAGCAAGCAAGAATATACCCAAAGTACGCCATGCGAAACTACCAAGCAGGACTCACGAAGTTGCATACTTACTATGCTGCCAGGATGACTTCAGAGTTCAGCAGCTTGCATGCAAGGGCAGGGCAGCACCGAGCGAGTGAGACTTAACACAAAGTGCTCACTGTTCTGCTACGGCTACTTGCCGCCTGCTGTTAAACAGACTTACCAAGACCACTCACAGGGATAACTCCCTGGTAAGAACGTCACTTCTGTGGAGATGCGCCAATGCCACAATGGTGCCTAAGATATTTACAGTAACTTAGCAGTAGTGTTGCACAAAGGAGTTACTCCCTGTTATGCAAGCTTTCAGTTTGGAAGCCGTTACTGATGGCTTCCGGGTTATGTGCATCTTTACAGAGAAAGTGATTCCATAGTTTGCGGATAACAAGCCAACTGTCGGCCATTCCTGTATGCATTTCACATGAATTCCACAGCTCGTCGGGGCGGCTTCTAAGGGCTCGCTAAAGTAGTATGGAGCTCACTCCATTTGCTGAATACGTAGGGGAACATTAACTTACTAGACACTCAGAACACACGCAGCCTAAATGCCTCGCCCAGCCCTAAATCTTGCGCCTTTAGCGTAAGCCTATATGTATTCCTTTGCCTTGCTTGTATGTAAGGAGGAGTGGAATCCAGCAGCATCAGTTGCAACCATGGAGGCACTGGTCAGTAAATTTATGTTTTAAGCGACGACAGCATTTTCTTAAAAGCAAAACCCTGAAAGTACATGCTGTCCAGGCAGCAGGCAATACGACATCTAAGAAGGCGAGTACCACTGCAAAACGATTTCAGTACGCGGACCATCTCCCCAACTCCCCCCACACAGCAAAGCCTACCCAGCGCCTGTAAAGCTCAGCAAAAGCTGCAAGAGTCTGCTGTAGCGTCTCTACAAGGTGAGGGGCAGACGTTAACATCAAGGCAAGCGGCAGCACTGCACACGCAGAGTTGCCCTAGACTCAATAACCCGCGAGCGCATATATTCAAAGAGATGAAGTTCTCAGCAGAATAGACAAGTGGCGTCACACAGCGGAGACGCCGTACCCCATTTACGTGTTGTAGCTCAGTCTGCAATTGTCAAGTCAGGCGGAGCTGGTAATCCCCATTCTGCGTAATGTATCGAACCCAGGGCAAGGCCTGATATCCGCTTTTTTCGATGATCTTGAGGTAGCGGACTGTAATGCCTGAGACGGTGAAGTAGGGTATCTCAAAAACAACCTGAATAGGTCGGCGCATGAAATTACGCCGCGAGTCGTCTTCTACGGAAGGGAGCGCGAACGAAGCCGTCATGCTGTACTCTCTCTGGCCCTGAAAGTGCCGGATGCTCCACACGAGACAGTCCAAGTCCGGTACGTATTTCGCGCTCCCAATGGTGGTCTTGAAATGCCCCGCACCGGCATCTGCCGGAACCGGTATACGAATTTCTACTCCACCAGCGACAGACCGGGGTTTAAATTGGCTTCTTGCGCGGACTAAGTACTCCAGACGGCTTCCTGAAGTTCCCATGTCCACTTGGCAGTCGACCCATATGAGGGGCTTCACCTGGGTGTGCAGCCGGTACGACATGAGCTCACACTCGCCATCAGGGGGAATGAAGGAAATAGTTCTGTCGTTCTCAAAACGTGCTAAACGGACGCATTGATGAAACTTGACATCTTCCATCTCAATTGCGCGGCCTCTGCCCGTCGATTTCCCGCAATTTTCCAGCACCAGCTTGTCATTTAAGCCTAGTTTCAGTTCTGGCATGCCAGAGAGAAAAGACTTCATTTTGAGCGATCCGAGGATTTCGGAACGCAACACGTTTCCATTTGCCGCCACAAGCAGGTCCAGCTTCTCCACAACGTCGAGAAATATTTCATTTTTCTTGTGCACTATGCCCTCGGACCGCCACGACACAGCATTCGTCATGGCAGTGGGCGGCCGGATGGCGGCCGTGGTCAATTGGTGCGCCTGGTTCTTTATGAATTCGCTCAAAACTTTCACCTCAGTGGTTTGGGGGTACCCGTTGTCTACCATCTCGTCAAGCAACTCGTACGTGATGACAAAGTTGTCGCGAAGACTTTCCTCTGCTAGTTCGTGAAAATAGCTCGTCAGCACGGCGCCCAGTTTGTGCAGAAACGCCACTAGCATCATAGCATTCGCATTTTGCCTTGTTAGTGCCAGCAAATAAACATTTTTCAGCTTAACCCAGCAATATGTAACCCCTTCGTCTTCAAACACCGGGGTCACGCACGCCTCGTCCTGTTCAAGGACTTTACTGGCAAACCGATCACTCACAGCAAGCGAGACATCGCCACGGTAGTCTCGCCCAATAATTACCTTGCCTCGTCCGTCCAGAATCAGCACAGCGCTCGCCCCCGCCATCTTCGCTGCACGACCCGGCAGGAAAAAGAACGACAGAGAACTGCAGCAGCGACCGGCCCCCCCTTGCTGCAGCCCTGCACAGTTAGGACCTCTTCGTCTTCTTGAATAAATGTTTTTCGACTCAAAAAGTCCTCATGTGCGGAAAGGTGACGCGACAAACGTTGCCTCATACCTGTCGCCGCCGCCGCAGCAACAGTTTGAAGAGCTATAAGCAGCAGTGAAATGCTGCATCAAATTAGGTAACAGCTGGAGTCACCATGGAGTTTTTTAGAAACGATAACTCACAGTTGGGGATATTGTTTATTATACAACGGCGCTTCAGATCGAGTCGCTTACGCTGCTCACCAACGAGCAACAGCCCCGGTGCTGCTGTCTCCGACTACTAGAAGAATACAGCATGCGCCGTCATTTTTCCTTCAGTGGCAGTCTATTTTTGTATCTAGCAGAAAAGCTTCAGTATTGCAATCTCGTGGAGGTGGCTGATAGCCATGTGATAGCGAACCTCACGTTACCCCTCAGCAGCCTCCGTGCTCTGTCTTGCGAGGTGGGAGGGTCTGTGCACAAGTAGCGCTTTGAAGCAGAAGCTCCTGGTCTTGACTCCCGAAAAGGTGAAACCTCGTCATCAAGAATATAATTGTTTAGTGGGTGGGGTCTGTAGAGCTATGCCGGGTGTGTGGAGCTTTGTCGGGTCTGTGAAGCTAGAACTAAACTGTGCCATCCTGGAGCCATACCCTTCAGTACTGTGGAATTTTGAGAGAATAATTGTCTCGAGTGTAAGCTTCAGAAGATGTGGCACCTTCATGTATTGAATCGAAGTCCTCATTGCAGTGCTAGCCTCAGTATGGCGGCTCCACAAAGCTTCTAACAACAACAGCAGCAGCGCGTGGGAGACTTGAGGAAAATTTGAACATGTTAAACGAGGGACAAAGACGACGACAATTGTAAAGAGCAACCCACTAAAAGGTAGTACAGAGAAAGGCGATTACTGCAACGGTGCAGTATAATACCGACGGACTCCCAGCATTACTTTCCATGGAATACTCACGTGAGAGCATCACGGATGCCTCTCGCGCAGTTATGAGCTTCTCTGGTGCTCAGATGGACGTGCAGAGATCACAACAGAAAATCATTCCCTCGATCACAACAGGGGTTGACTCCCTCGTCTACTGGCAAATACCCGCGTGTCCAGCGAAAGGTACTTACTAGACTGCGTGATGCAGTGGCAGCTGCAGCTAATTTATCCTAGACAGTGCCTGGGAAGATACTGGATACGAAACAAACCTTGGAGAAATCCCAGAAGCAGCCGTCCTTCACTGCCGTTGAGCTTTCTCCTTGTCTGCTACATGTACCCCTAGTGAGAGAGGATGATAACAACCCGTATCTTTTTTAGAGGCCAGACGCAATGTTTCGCTTTTGTGGTGCACTCAAGACATTTATTGACGAGATTGTACTAGTTCCTAAAATCGAACGTTTCCCCGCACTGGCAACAGATTGCAAAGGCCTTCAGCTCTAGGTTTGTGCTCTGTCACGCGGAGATACATCCCATTAATAACGAATACGAAGCTGCAGTTGCAAACTCGTTCTCACTATCGTGGCGTGGCATGACTAGCTTTACTCAAGTATGCTAATAGTCTCAGCACACCGCTTCCGCGTGAAGCAGTACCACACTAGAATTCAGGAAAACAAGAGTCGACGGGCGGCATGCTCAAATGCACTCGTTCAGTGTCGTACCACTGCAATGCCACTCAGCTGTAACGATACCTCGTCTGCGAGCAGCTGGTTGCGTTCCTTGAGAGAGTGGTGCACTTCGAGCTTCCACAGTGTAGCTTGTAGCTCCTCTAAATGAATATCTCCGCAGAACTAATGCTTAGGAAACAGCATCCCTTGGAGTGTCCACGTAGAGTAATCGGGACTCTTCCCGCTGCATTTCTTCAATCACTGCGGGTTGCTAGCCCACATTTAAGTATTCTGCTGCTAAAATCACTGGCTATGGCCGCTTCATCTCGGTTCTTTCTGTGAGCTTCCCTAACGCGCCGTGTAAGCCACCAACGTTCAACTAGCTCCGAATTAACTGCGCTTCTTTCGCGACCACCAGGTCCCCACTGCGGCATGTAACTCATTTAAAATGAGTGAAACCAGCCTCAAGCTCCCAGGTACTGGCGATCAAGCTTACACTACGAAAGATCGGACTTGCAAGCATCCGTGGAAGCATCGGCAGCCGTTCGCTTCTAATGCAACGGCAACTGCACAGGCTGGGCTAGCATGCAGAAGTTCCACAGCGTGAGCAGAAACTGCCAGAGCTGAAGTCAACTCGAAGCAAATTCAAATACTTCTGCACAGAAAAGGTGGCACCACGTCCGCGAATCTGAGATATTCTGGACAGACCGTAGGCGCATCCGGAATAGGGATATGCAGTTGAGTCACAGCGGGGAGAAAAATGCCCCAACCCTTACCATCTTCCCCAGAAAGCGTAGACATTTGCTTTTATACGCGACTTATGTAGTTCCAGTATCTAGTTTTCGTAAGGGTGTTTGGACATCGTGTGAAATTTTCACGCTCAGACATTTCTGGAGAAATCCCTGGAATCATCTGGACTGCTGTTTACATGCATTTCCCCCACTTTTCCAGAAGCAGCAGTGCTTTTCCAGCACTGATGCCTCTGGGTGTAATTCTTGTGCCTCTTGCAAACTTTTTTCTCCATGTGCAGTAGCCTGCCAACTCTCCACAGCTCATCCGTTGCTCTTCACGTCGGCTGCTTCTTGCTCCTTTGAGCTTGGAAACCCCAGCTTTCCCTTGATAGGCGATGAGCCTGACCGTCCCCAGCACGCGTAAAACCAAATGGCATAGGCGAACCCATGAGTTGAGCATTGTGATGCGGGTTTTGGACCCTAGAACGTGACGCCCCAGTGAGGCAGCGGAGAAGACAGCCCGCTACCGCACTGCAGCATCAAACAAACTGCTGCACTGCAGATGAGCGCACCCGCAAAAGCACGATCCATCGAATAGTGTGAAAGGACTTTTCGGAGTTGGCTTGTAGTTGCAATATATTGTGGTTTGCATGCTTCAACCAAGGTGAGCCTTCAAAAGCATGGAACTGGCAAAGTCCAAACAGCAGCAGAGTCTGCGAGCTTGTTGGACTATTTGCAGTGGCTTGTGATTGAAGCACGGCCAGCAAAAGGATTCACGCTGTTCAGGCCAATCGTCATCGCGTCGCTTTACGAAATCGCAATAATCATTGAAAGGCAGCCCACACTGCTAGCCAGGAACAGGGCTAGCGCGAATATGTGGCGTTTTTCTGACCTCGAATCTTGCTCATCTTGCAGGGCAAAGACAGCGTTCACCGACGCTGATTCGTGCAGCAACTCTGCAGCAGCTCTGCTATTCGTGCAAAACTGCTAATAAAACTCCGAGAGTAGTTGATGATCCCAAAGTCATAAGACGCCTGTGCACTCATTTACACTATGGTAACACGAATGTGATCGGCTGTCGCGAAGTCAAGGTTGGCTACTTCTGCAAGTACCATGAATGCAGAATGCTTGCTTTTGACAGAAGGCACACTAAAGCGTCTGCAGGTGCAACGCAACAAGGATAGCGAGTGAGCTAGATGTCCTTCAGACGCACCGGCTGATTATCGCATCCACGTGTGCAAAAGCATGAACTGACTAAAGTCCCACTTGCAGACAGCCAAGAATGGTGAGTGGCTTTACCGCGCCCGCTACATCAAATATCATGCGAGTCCACTCCTACAGACTATCGGGCACGACAAAAGCCAACTACTTGGGGGAAGTTGACTCGACCCCTAAGCGTAAATATTCCTTGGGCAATTCCAATGCAGGAGGGAATGTTTTTACCTCTAGGGGGTCAACTGCCTGGTGGAACGGGGCAAGCTGTTTTGCGGGGACTCTTGCCACTTGATTTTGCTATCTGCAACGAATGCATTACCGCCGAGTCGCTTTTACGCCCCTTGATTGTCAGCACAGCACGCGCCCAATCCAACGAAGTCAATATGATGATGCGAATCCTTATGTCTTCGCTGGCTTTCTGCGGGAGTCTTCGCCTGGGTTGCCTGACGAAGCGTCCTGCACACCTGAGATGGCGCAATAATGTAGGCTGTCTCACTGAGTCACTGGCCTTAGCATCAAGAAATGGACTTTCACAATCGTTAAAGTCATTACACAAACCCTTAGATATGCCTTGCGCTCAGACCTTCTGTTCTACTGCAGAAGTTAGAGAAAGCCATCTGCTTTGGAGGCAGTACGCAATACATAGCAAGAAGAAGGCTCTAGTTTGTTCCTCCTATAGCGAACCAGGCACTTGAAGCTAATATTTCTGTTCCAACTAAGCCAGAAGGACTGCAACATAAAACACTTCGACTGCGACGTGCGGAGAAGCACAGGCTAGGATAACCACCCAGGTATATACTAGTCTTAGGAAGGCCTGGTTCATCCTCTCATTAGTCAGCGATTCCCTCGTTGCCAATGCTCCTTATTGGCTCGTCGTTCTTTCTCATTTACAGATCTCTGAGGAATTTCCCAAGAAAGCACAGAGACGGAGGCTTCATCAGCAGCTTACGCACAAGCCTTGGCTTCTCTCCTGGATTCGACAGGCTGGCCTTCATTCTTTTTTTGTCTAGAAGAAACAGCAAGGAGCTAAGTGTACTCAGTGCATCTAGACCAACAGTAGCATCTCCGGAAAACTCACGGGGAAAGCATTTTCGACTTCGCACATGCGTCTTAGCATTTCTCAGGGGCACTGCGTACTGCACAGGGAAAGGAATAAGATAGCCTGGCTCATCCTGAATACAGGACATGAAGTTATTCATAAATCAAATTCAGAAGTGTGCGAATCCCCCCCGGTGGAGAGCGCACAGTGCTAAGCAAGGTTACGACTTTACCAGTGCCAAGAAACGCGCAATAACGAGGATCACTGAAAGCCTTGTCGATAAAAAATTGAGTCATCAATGCGAATAAAGGAAAGTATAGCCGACGCTGCACATGATAAACGTGTGGCCAAAGCTCTTTGGCAGGTGAGGCAGGAGGTGGGTGATTCAGCCTATTGTAGTGTAAGGCGACCCCTGAGCCTTTATCCCTAGTACTCTTGGTGCGCCGTGAATGATGGCGCCAGATTCTCTCTATAGAAAAGCTCTGGCAACTTTCTCACAGCTGGCCACTGAAGACCATTTCATACCTAGCAGGGCAGACTCCCTGCAAACTCGGCGAAGCTCTTGTCTGTGGCCATCTAGAGAGGCCGAAAGCTCTCCATCTAATGCTTTCCCCAGAAAAATAGCTTATTTTTAGGACCTCTTCCAACTCGGAAGCGCATGGGACAGGGAGCGTGAAATGACGGCTGCAACCCTGCACTGGCAGACTTTGGTGTGGGCTCATTGGTCCGGGAAAGGATCACTTTTCACTGAAATTTTTTGACTTCCCAGCTGCTTTCTATGCAGCATATAACGTCGCGAAGTCGCTTTGGGGGCCATCGGTCTGGAATTATCGTATGCCGCGGGACTTCAATTGAAAGGAGTTATTCTTGGAACCGAACCTCGGTTTGTGTTGCTCATTGCCATTTTCCCAGAAGACTGCATTTACTATTTACATGCACAAAGTGATGAATCCAACAGCTGCAATATTAGTGTAACATTAGAAAACTATGAAAACACTGAGCATACCTCTTTCCTTCAACAACAGGGATGTAAGGAGGCTTTTGGCAGACGAAACTCTCGTCTAATGCTTTATCCTGCATACCGCAGGCCGCATAGGGCTCGGCTGACAGCGTCTGCTGAAGCACTTGCTGCTAAAATGATTCTTCTGAAGAAGGCATATGCCCGCGTACTCACGGAAGGCTACTTTTGTTGTGGCATTCTTTCAAAATTTGCACATAAAACTACTAGCTACAAGACAACCCGCCGGAAGGATCTGAGCGTACGAAAGGAGCCTGAAATCCTAAGTCTAAAGTCGTTTTCGAGGACAATGTTGTGAAGAAGCAAAAGCTGTTCATGCTTTTTCTCTTTCCATAGCCTCCTAACATTTCCACATTTACCGGCATCCTACTTCGTCCCTGACTACGAAGCACAAACTCTCCCATGCATACACCTGTGCAGCAAGATACAACAATATATGTCGCTAAATATGTCTCATATCTAAATCGAAATCGCATTCGGCCTATCTACAGCTGCGATAGGCAAGTGAAAAGACAGGACACAAGCTGAGCACGAGGGGTCTTGGCCAGTACGCAAAGGGATTTCAGGGATCCCCGAATGTAAACGCTGCTCCAAACTATTGAAGCAGATGCAGATGAAAACTGCAGCGTTTTCTCGGTGTTGCGGAGGATACTGTACTCTAGGGCGACCAACATTCCAGCCCCGATGCACACAACGGGCTGTGTAGTCTGCGTCAATTTTTGTCTTCCCAAAGGAAAATGCAAAGACATGAAGGGGAAAAAATACCGCTATTACTCAAAATATCTAAATTTATTAGGGAGAAGTAGACAAGGCTTGGTGCGAAAGTCCACGGCGACGCCTCAGCGCTACCAGCTGTCGTGCTTCTCACGGCTTTCTGCAGCCTTGTTGCCAATTACTGCGAGTTCCGTTTTTGCACTTTTGGAATTTTACTAATATTTGCCGCATACATAAGTGAAGTGGCCCACAAAGCACGACAAGCCTTCCTGAGCGCAGACAGGAGCAACGACTGCCCCCTGTGCTGCCGACTTCTGTCTGCGCCAAATGCATAGCGTAGCCAGCAGCAGTAGCAACGGCAGCAACAAGGAGAAGAACAAAGGCACGAGTTTTATACAACTAATTTCGTTACTGTGAAGAGCATAGGCCCCACTACGGTTCCGTCCGTGCGGCCGAATTTTTGGGGTTCTAGGGCTTTCGAACCATTCCTATGGAGTCTCCTTCGATTCACTGCATCTGGAGACACACAGTGGAACTATAGAAATACGCTGTACGCACAAGAAGCCAAGAGTCCCATGCAGGGGAAGCAAGGTGTCGTATGCGCCCGTACACGCAGGACAACTCATGCAACACCCGCAGCACTCAGAGGGTCCCTGAAGGCTCTCTAGTGGCCCGCAGGTGACAGTAATTTCGGCATTGCGCCAGGAGCAGCAGCTGTAGCAGGTGCTGCAGCAGGAGCTGCGGCAGAGGGCAGGAGCCCGGCGCATTTCAACGGTGGCAACACGGCTGCCGAAGCTGGTTGTCTCCTTGATAGCGGTTCGTCGTCCTTTCCAGCGTTACGTGTTTCCTTTTCACGGTCTTTACAGTCATCAGTCAGGTGGCACGGGCTGTTTCTGGCAGAGACAGCAACTGGGGTACAAGCGCAAACAGCCACAGTACCTGGTGCCCCATGCTGAAAAGTGAGCCGAGCCTTACAGGACGACTAAGGAAGAGACAAACAAGACAGCTGAAATCTAACAGGGGACAGGAAAAGAACGCTATCGGCGAAAATGTCAATCAAACTCAGGGAATTCATCCGACAAGTTCGAGCGGCACGCACAGCTGCTGAGGAAAGGGCTGTAGTGGCGCGAGAATGCGCAAGAATAAGGACCAACTTTAAGGTAACTTCATTCCTGTAGATATACTTAGGTAGTTGTGTACTGTTTGTACGAACAAGTGCGCTTACGTGCATGTATTCGGAATATTTGTGGTATGCGTATGTTGAAGTGCATGTGTATTGTACACATTCATCTACATCAATGTATGAGTCTGTACAGCGTATAAAGCATGCGATTGTGCAGTTTTCGCATGAGTGTTTGCGTACCTTCTTGTCCGTGCCGAAAATAGGCCGAGTACCTATCGGCAAGTTAAATGATGGTTCCTGACGGGGCGAACAAGAGTGGACAGAGGCAGACAGCGACAGGAATATAGGGGGGATAGAAATATGGGCAGAGACAGTCATCGTGCAAGGGTGTTCAAACGGGGGAGGTCTGACCAACAGACAGACGGAGGAACAGACAAAGGGGCACGAAGATAGACAGCAACGCAGCCATCCTGAGAATGGGGTCTATATATAACTGGCACGTGTTTTATCCTGTTTGTGTTTCTGACTTTTCTACCGATGTATGCTTGTACGAGCCAATGCTGAAGTTCTCGTAACAGCTGTACACGTAGTTGAGCATTTTTACCTGTTTTAATGCTGCTTGAAGGAAGGCGACAGCAAGCACCGCCATCGCGACGTGGCGAAGGTGCTCTTCATATCGATGCTAGGCTATCCCACACAGTTCGCGCAGGTGGAATGTATTAAGCTTGTTGCCAGCAACAGGTGAACAACAGGTGCATCATATGCGGCGTGGACAGCTCATGCCTGCCGTTTTGGATCTGCCTCTCTTTTAATATTTTACAGTCTAGAGTGTCATAGGCGCTGCCTTCTTTGGGGGCGCTGCACACATCCATTTTGCAATTTTGTTGCACGTGTATGCGCATAAGGGCGATGCACTTACTTGTACCGCATTTTTTTCACCTCGTTGCGTGCCCTGCCATTTGTCTCGTGTGCGACCCTCTGTGCCCCAGACAGTGCTCACTGCCGCATCTGCCCACCTGCCTGTCTGTCTGTCTGCCTGCATCTCTTTGTATTTCCATAAATTTGTTCGTTTTTGTTGGACTGCCATACATATATTTTTGCCTTTCCACTTCTTCCTTCGTGATGCTTGTAGGTTTGCAGAGAAGCGCGTAGGTTACTTGGGTTTGACATTATTGCTGGACGAGTCCTCTGAAGTGTCTATGCTGTCAACGAATTCCTTAAAGCAAGATCTGCAGCACACAAATCAGTACATCAGCAGCTTGGCACTGTCTGCATTGGCCAATGGCTCCCCCCGAGAGGTCTGCCGTGCCCTGCTGCCGGAGGTAGAGAGTCTCCTGAGCTGCAGCAACCCCTTTATACGCAAGAAGGCGGCAGTAGCTGCAGCAAAGTGTGTTCGCCGTTTGGGAGATGAGGCTGTGTCTTGCTTCGCGTCAACGCTTCCAGTACTTGCCACTGACAGGAGCCATGGGGTGCTCCTTGGAGCCTGCGCGCTGCTGTTCGCCGTACTCGAGACACAGCCAGACCGCAGAGTGGAGTGTCGCCAGCAGCTGCTGCAGCCCCTTGCCAAGGCCCTCAGGACCTGCAGCTCAGCTAGCCACCCACAAAGCGCCGAATATGACATCGCCGGTATTGTAGATCCTCTTCTTCAGTCCAGGCTTCTTAGGGCCGTTGCCCTGTTGGCTGAAGTACGGTACAAACCCAGACAGCCACCTGTTCCTGAATGTGCTGCTGGCGCACCTTTTGCAGACCCACGTACTGCTTGCAAGACTCGGAGAACTGCTGCTACGTTGTTTTACGGTGGTGTTTTCGGCATCTATACAGCTGCTGCCGCGGCGGCAAACAGTACTGCTGCGGCTCCTACTGCTGTCGTTGTTTCTCCATTTCCTGTTCTTGGCAATGTAATAGCTTTTGCTAGTGTATCGCAGTAGCCAGAAGTCTTGTTCGTTGTCTGGGTGATATCAGGGGGATGCAACGGCGACTGCAGCCGTGACGGATTTGCTGGCGCATGTTGCCACCAACACTGACGGATCTAAGAACGCGGGGAATTGCGTGCTGTACGAATGCGTGCGTGCAATCGTCTCTCTCGACACAGACCAAGGTCAGCTGCATCAGCCCACAGTCCTTAGCTCCGCGCCTCAAGCCTTCTTCTTTGAATCTGTTGCCGTGTTTCCCATTTCTTTTTGTTCTTTTGCTGTTGTCTTGCCCACTTATTTTTCTGGTGAGCTTACGCGGCTTACCGTCTTCTTTTGTCCGTTTTATTTTGTGCCCCATTTTTGTATACTTTGCATATTTATAAGGACCTCTATCCTGTTTGAAATAGCCTGCCCTCTTTTCTCTTTCCATGAGATAATGTCTCCGCCTTTTCTCTTTGTTGTTGCCACCGTGTTCGAGACCATCGGAGAGGGTGCCATCCAGGTAGAGTCAATTCATATGGCTTGATTTCTGCCGTGTCCGTTGTACTTCAGGTTTGCGTGTATTGGCTTTAAACATTCTCGGACGGTTTCTGTCTTCTCGAGAACAAAATCTGAAATACGTCGCCCTAGAAACACTTCACCAACTCCTTAGAACAGACAGCAGCGCAGTCACCAGACACCGTGACACTCTTCTAGAGTGCCTGAAGGTTAGCCAGACTTAATTTTCCCGACATAGGTGTTAGAGGCCTCGCAGAGCATCAGATACAAGTCATAGGGTCAGCGGGTGGGGGAGACCGCCGTAGAGGAGGGCGTTTGAAGCTACGTGACAGCGACGGCAGAGAGCAGCAGGAGCTGCAGCCATAGCTTGTCTGTCCATGTATCTCAGGATTGTGACACGTCAATCCGTCGGCGGGCTTTGGAGGTGTTGATAGCTCTACTCTCTCCCCAAAATATTCGCGTTCTAGGTCGGGAATTGCTTTCATTCCTGCTAATCTGCGACAAGGAGTTAAAGCCCTTCGCAGCTGCCAGATTGGCCATGGCGACTGAGACACATGCGCCCACGCGACGCTGGCAGTTCGACGCCACTCTCAAGCTCCTGTGTCTCGCAGGTACATTAAGTGTGCTTGTTTGATTTGCGGGGCTGACTGACTAACTTCAGATGTCATAAACATCTTAGAGTAGCAACGAGAATAACAGCAGGCAAACTGCGAGACCGCAATGTAAAGCGGCAATACGCAGATAGACAGAGCAGGGGCAAGACTGCATAGAAAGCTGAATTAAACAGTGGCAGTGGCAGAGATAGAAAAAGATAATATAATGTACGAAACAGACTGAGGCAAGCGCAAAGAAAGGTGACGTCAGGAGTGGACAAAAGAGAGGGCACTGCTGTTTTTCTCAATGTTGTTCTTTTTATAGGCCAGTATGTAGAGGAATCGGCAGGCAATGAGTTGCTCTCGGTAGTCCTTCGGACCCCTGAGCTTCAGAGCTATGCTGTCCACAAGCTTTTCTTCTGTCTTCGAGAGGGCAGCGCCAACAGCCCCGTGCTCGCCAAGGTACACGTCAAACAGTAGACGCTGGCTTGCCCGAAACCCTAAAATTGCGGAAATCCAAAGGAAACTTATTTATAACTAACCCGATGTCTTCAGTTGCGTCTGCTGTCTGTCGGTGCACCTCATGCGGCTAGTGTCTTTTTTCTTAAGAAGTACCTGTTCAGGTTCCAGGGCGTGAGGTGTGTTGGCTTCCCCTTCAGACGGCGCTGTACTGCGTGGGTGAGTTTGGCGATTTGCTGGTGGCTAAGGACAAAACGCATTTGCTAGCTGCAGATAAGGAACACCTATTGGGGGTCCCTTCGGGGTCCTCCGATGATCCATCGGCCGCTGCGCTATCTCTTACTGCTGAAGAGGTCGTGGACACCCTGGCGGCGATTAGCCAGGCGCTTCAGGAAGGGCAAGGCAAGAAAGGAGGGAATGCAGCAGCAATTGCTGTTGCTGCTGCGGCAACTGCAACGAGTGCACCTGCGTTGTCATCTATCACGGAGGCGCTGATGACTTGCCTCGCTAAACTCACCACAAGATTGCCAGACCAGGTCAGCGTTTGGCTTTGTCTTCCTTTTATTCCTTGCTTTCTCCAGGCTGTTGTCTTCTTTCTGGCCTGTGCCTCGGTATTGGGCCTTTCCGTTTCTGTCTGTGCCTGTTGCTGTGCCTGTCTTTTTCCCTGTGTGCGTTTGGCATTGTCACTGTCTGGTCGTTTCATCTCTGTTTCTCTTCTTCTGTCCGTTTTCCCCCCGTTGCCTAATCGGTCTTCCCGTGTCTTCTTCCTTCCTGAATGCTCATGTCTATTCTTTGTTACTTGCGAAAATGCCCGTTAATCTTTAAGCTGCTTCTTACCTGCCATTCCGCGTCTCACGTGCTGCTGTTTCCCGCGATCGCCTTGTCTTGTGTTGCGACAGAGGAGTAGGCTGCTAAACTTGCTGCGGAACTTCACCAGCAGCAGGTTGCTGGAGGTGCAGCAACGCAGCTTGGAGTTTGTGTCACTGCTGGAGTCCACGGAGTGGCAGCCGGCGGACATTGAGGCAATCTTTGAGCGGATGCCGCTGCAGCAGCAGCAGCATCGCGAGAAACCAGTGGGAGAGGTCTGCTTCGACCTAGCAGATCTTCCCTCGGATTTGTCCCCTACAGGAGAGAGAGGCCTACCCACTTCAGGTCCCTTGACAGCAAACAAAGCGCAGGCCGTCAACGGCACTGGGGGAGGTGTGTGCGTTTAACTATTTTTCGCTATTCCCTGTTCTTCCCTTTTCTCGTTGGCAGAGGTGGACTGCCACTTTGTCTCTTATTTGTGGTACTACATGCGGTGGTTTCCGTCTAGTCATCCTTCCTGTGTCATTAACGTATATCTCTGTCCCTCCTTACTTGCCTAGCTTTGCCCCTCGTGTTTCTACTTTTTTCCCGCCTGAGCAGTGTCTGTACACTCCAGCATTTGCTTTTGCTGTTTTATTCATGCCGAATGGCTTCACATGCACTGGCGTGGAGTGTCCCTCAGCGCAACTACTCGAGCTCGACGACCTTCTAGGCCTTGCCGCCTCCCCGCCCCCTTCCCAAAAGGAGGCGCCTCAGTCTCTTTCTGGCAGCAGCGGCGCAGCAGACAGCAGCAGCAGCAACGGCGGCTTGGATCTACTTGCCGACCTTTTGGGAGGGGCATCTCTGTCTGCGCCTGGAGCAGTACAACCAAGCTCCCAGCGTTCTAGCGGAGCAACAGGAACCGTTGCTCTGCCAGCAGTCACCACAGACCCTTTTGCGGGTCTCATTGACCTTGCGAATCCGCCATCAGCATCATCAGGCTCTGCAGCGGTCTCGCCGCCCTCGGTGAATTCCGGCGAGCCGCTTGCTTCTCTGCTGGAGTCTGCGTTGAGCCCTCCCAGCCCACAAACTACGGCAGCTGCAGGAGGCGCTACTGATCCACTAGCATTGGCTTTGAATGCAGAAAGTACCCCGGATTCAGCAGCGGGGGGACGTGATGGTGTGTTTGCAGTGCAGGTGCTGGATGAAGAAGGCTTGCGCGTTGTTTTGAAGTGCCGTCGGCTGCCCTCGGCAGCCTGTGAGATTGTTGCCGAGTTCACAGCAAGCCCAAGCAGCAAGCCGCTGCTGCAGTTTCGGTTTGAAGCTGCTGTACCCAAGTATCTCCAGCTGCAGTTGGACCCCCCGACAGACTCAACAGTGCTTCCGGGGGCCCCTCCAGTGCAGCAGCGCCTGCGTGTCACCTCTTGCCCAGCAGTGTCAGTAGCAGCTACGAGCCCGCAAAATGAACCAAAGCCACTTCTCATGAAGTGCCGTGTGACGTATCTTAGAGACGGGGAAACAGTGCAGAAGGGCACCAACGTTGCCTCGTTTCCGGCGGGGCTGCTGGAACCCTACTAGGGCTCTTAACGCAGCAGCTGCATTCTTTGTACAGGCCTACGCGTATATGAAGGATGAAGAAACAAAATTTTCGTGATGAACAACATAAGCGAGCACATGTAACACGTATTCCCATAGGCGCATACACACGTGCAGCCAAGGGAAGCCAGCTTGAAGCCAATGACTGTGGCAGCAACATGCATGAAGGGTACTATTGGTTCTGCTGCTTTGGTTGGTGCTGCTTGCTCCACGTATACGTGCACACATGAACGCTACGAAGAGAAAGGCTACGTCTGTCCGTCTCTGTCGACGGTGTTTGTTTCTGCCAGTTGTTCTAACTGTGGATGGCACCGCCCAAGCTGGAAGTCCCTGCTTTTGTTAGGCTACCCAGCAGCAAAACACCGCTGCTACGTTGATGTGCGGTGTCTAGCTACCTGATTACAGCATGGCCTTCAATTTCTCCGTGTATCTGCTGCAGCACCTGGGCAGTGAGTTAATTGGTGACGTCACTGACGGATTCACAATGCCATTCAGAAGCAGTGAGGTACTGCCGGTGTCGGGTTCGGGTCTCTCAAAGTACAAAATTTAAACACCAACACGCAGAAAGAAATAGTGGTCAAAGCAACAAATTCAACGACGCACACAACGAAAATGCAGATGATTACATACGCCCATAAAACACATGAGGTCCAGAAGAGCACAATAGATGTGATTTTCTTGGAATTGCCTCATGAAGGGTAGCTCGGGTACGCAAACGCGTTGTCTGGACTGCAAACATTGGACGTCGAGAGCCCGCCAAGGCCTCTGGAGGGCCCTATAAGGCCCGGTCGCCCCAAAGGTGCTACCTCCCGTTCCCTCCTTCCTAGCGACTGCCTTGGAGGATCTTGCCCTTTGGTACCATCCCCTGAGCCCCTGATTTTCCTCCCTTGAACTCCCACAGGTTCCTTTACCCTGCTGCTTCCAGAAGCAGTAGCCAGAGCAGTGGCACCCGGGCGTGCCCCTCCTATCCTGCTGACACCACTAGTGTTCACAGGCCCTGTGGTAGCACCACCGGAGCCCCCAGTCCCTCCAGCAGGCAGCCCTGAGAGTCCACCACGGTTGGCAGGACAGGGTTCCCGACGCACCTTCGATGCTTGTTCGACGTGCATGGCTGCAGCCGGCCGCTGCCCCGCTGGCCTTACTGACCCTCGAACTTGCGGAGATGTTGTAAGCCCAGTAGCGGCGTGCCCTCCCTTGGTGCTTGTTGCCGTGGCTCTCTGTGATGTTTCCTTAAAGGTGCGGCCGCAAGGCGCTGAAGGGGCAGAGGTGGTGTAATACGAACGTGCAGCTGAGACACTGCACCATGAGGGCGAGTCCGGTCGTGGCTCAGCCTTCTGTATCAGAGGGTCAAACTTCCTCTGCTTAAATGAGTCAAAAGCTTGACGTTTGTGGCTGGAGATGCGTGAGCAGATGTTTTGATGTGTCGCGATCCTATCTGCGTTAAACCAGCGACCGCAGACCGCACACTGGAGCCTCCCTTGGTCGTCAAAAGCTGTGCTGATGGGTCCACTTGAGGTCTTGCTGGACCCCTGGGCCTGAGACTGCATCGCAGCCTTGGGGGCTTTTGGGCACCGCGAAAGGTGCTGATCTAGCTCAAGCTTAAGCACCTCCTGCCCGCAGTGCTGACATGTTAAGCGAATGCTCTTCTGCTTCTCTGCACACGTTTTCTGGTGTATGGGGAGTGACCGAGCGAAGAACTCCCCCCCACACATGTTACAAACGATGCCTCTGGGCCGCATCCTGAAGATTCGGTGGGAAAATGGCGAATGAAAGGGCAAATTTAGGCCGACTTCTACACAAATATCGCGTGGTCGAGCCAAAGGTGCTCAAGTACGGGCGACCGCTATGAGTCTTTAAGCACACAGTCAAAAGCTGAAGCTTTACTTGCTAGATACAGGCCTCCCAAGTTCGACACGACGCCAGTGCTCATACAAAGACCGGTTGAAGCAGGCCAGGGCTAGAGACCCTCGATAGCAGCTGTGAAACCTTCGGCGTAAATCTTCAAGTCGTCACTTCTTTAACGCGCCTTCAGTCATAACTCGTAGGCTGCCAACGTTCGTGGGTCAACCTGTCGAAATACCTTGAAGTCACGGGACCTGAAATGCTGTAGATTTAAACTTGCGGTGGAAACCTGCACGTCACGCCAAGGGCACTTTGCGGTTATTCATCAGTCTGCACGTCATACATACAAGTAGCAAATGAGCTTATACACGAGAAAACTTCTAGCAGGATAATATGAAACTGGTAGGAAACTCCTTTCAAACTGGACTGCAAAACCCTGAACCGCTTCAGTATTTGGGAAGCCAGTGGCACATCTCAGTGAAAGAAGAAGTAGACAATCTCTTGATTTCTTCAGTCTATATGAATTTGCCGTCATTTATGCAAATTCTTTTCAATTTATGGACCATAGTCCCTGAAGCGAACACATAAGGAACATCATGGCGCTCGCTCCAGCCGATGCCACGGTGACACACCAAGCACAAATCGCCCCTTGAGGACCCCTGCAGCCATAAAGAAAATTGCTCCCGGCAGCATGCTATTTAATGAGTTCAAATGCAGTATTAAACGCAATCCCTGTATTCTGAAGGCCCGAAGAACCGTGGAGTTATCAAGACAGGGCGGTTTCCAGCTACTCTTGGGCTGGAGGCTGGGAAACGGCTGTGTGAGCAGATTAACCCACAGAAGTTCAAGCCTTATTTTACCCAACAAATGCAACACTAACTCTACAGAGTCGATTTCAAGGATAGTTTTTCGCTTGAGCCTCTCCGGTGTACCACTTTGTCTAAAAACGTACTAGCGAGGGCTGCACATAACAAATTTGGCGTGCTGGAGCTGGAAAACCTTCTTCGTGCAAGAACAAGCCAGGGTCGTTTCTTCATTGTCGCACCGCCTGTGATATTGTCTCCGTACGCGGGGAGTGTTGCTGCATGCCAGGGCCTCGTGATGCCACAGTCTGCAGCATTCTCTTTTGGTATGCAATGCTGCGGTTCACTCATATTTCTAGCTTCCCCTTTTCGGCCTTCTAAGCGCCTGCACCTCCTCAATAGGGCTGAGAATGACTACTTACGATGCAAGGTCACGTCTCACCGCCTTGCCTTTCAGCATCTGGGTGCTTGCCGTCGCCTATACTCTCTGCAGTGCTAGCTGCATTAGCAACGGTCACTGTTCTCCAGATGGTTCATTCGATCATCCTACTGCCGCCCATTCCTGCAGCAGCAGCGAGAAGAGGGCAAATAACGAGGTCCGTCGGTCATCACATGACTCTCCGGACGTACTGGAGCTGGGCTTGCCTTCCTCTAATCGAAGTGTAGCTGACAAACGCGCAGAAACAGTAGAGCTTGTCAGCGACTTCGGTGAGGAAAGCATTGTGGGTATGGGCTCTCTCGTCGAGGGTAAGTACCTCTTGCTTGAACAGCTACACCCCACATTATGGGCTTTCTCTGGTGTTCCTGAGGACAGTGGCTCTACAGACGGGCAGCTGCAGATACATCTGAAGCCATCTGATGCTGCTTCTGCGCATGAATCTGTTCCTCCTGCCACCAGAAGTAGCTGCTACGACGATGGCGGTATTGACCAGTCGACCACGTGGAAACAGACCAATGGTTCTTGGAGCCGGACTAGCGAGCCGCCCTATCTCTCTTCTGAACCTCGTTCTAGGCCGCTTCTTCTCCCTCCTGGCATAGGGGCAGCAAAAGTTACAACAGGAGCAGCCCTTGCAGCAGCTGTAGTCTCTGTACGCTTCGATGTGGTCATCTCCCGGCAGGCCGGGGCCAAATCCCAGGGTTTCTGCATTGATCCTTCCATGTAGGAGGCTTCGGTGTTTCAGGGCACTAGCCAAGGCGAGGGTAGAGGATGGGGGACAAAGCACAAACAAACACGGGGATAGAATGATGCAAAATGGCTGCTCCATGTAGTTGCTCAATGAAACGTCACCCCATTTGTAGAAATATACTTTCATATTCGCAGTCAAACGCAACGCAAAAGAAACATGTGTGCGCTTATGCAGAATTCTTCGTGCCTTGCCATTTTGGTTTCACTGGCCATCACTGCCGTCACCACAGGACAGCAGCCGGAACAGCAGGAGTAGCGGCAGTGGTCCCGGTTCCCGCTACCGAGTTTTTGGGCGTTTAGGGGGTGGTGCCTACGGAGAGGTGAGGTGCTGCCAGTTCCTGGTTACAGTTGATTGGTTGCAAATTACGCTGGAGTGGGTATTGCCGTTGCTGCTACTACTCTGGTAATTATGAGTTCCGAACAGCTGTTATTTTGGACCATAGGTTTGGAGTGCGATAACTCTCGACAGCGAGGCGCCGTTTGTCGAGACAGTCCTTAAACGGATGCGCTGCGATACCTTTTCGGCGCTTGGGGACCCTGCAGGCCAGAAGCAGCATGGACAACAGAGAGAGCGCGCACAGAGAGGCTTTGCTCGCGAGGTGTTTTTTGGTGGGTCTGCTTCTGCGGTTTGCACAATCACCTCTATTTGAGCACACGAGATACGGTTTCGTCTTCAGTAGCTGCTACTGTTGGAGCTGCTCCTGCTCTGACTACTGCCATGCCTGATGTTTTAATGGTGTTACTGCCGCTACAGGTTTGCTGCTGCGTGACGTGCCTCACATCTCCCGTTTCGTCGAGGTTCTTCCCACGTACCCATCTGCTGCCTCGCCGGGTGCCTTTGCACCGCGAGCAACAGGGGGCGCAACTGTAGAGGAGTCAGCAGCTGCAGCTGCTGAAGCCGCTACGTTCCTCCCTGAAATGACTAAGGAGGACTTAATGACTGCGGCGATGAGCGCGAGACAGAGCTGCTGCGGCCAGTGGCTGGTGTTCGCTAATGAGGGTGTCTGCCTCACCCACCTCTTCTTTGTTGCAGACAAAGGAGGCAGCGGCCTTTTGGAACCTGTGGGCTGCAGCCATGTCTCGTCTCAAAATGCCAGCAGATCTCTTTAATATTGACAGCGGCAACAGCAAGAACAGCAGTGACTGAAGCAGTACTTGTGATATCTGCTGCAATATTTGCTCAACGCTGTTCACGCTATTGCCTTGTTTTTTGTTTCTTCGGCTGCACACTTCTTGATTGCAATTATACTAGTGGCGCATTTACTTGCTGCGGTTCTTCTTTAACACAGCATTTGCTGCAAATAGCTTGCTACTTCTTTCTTTCTACTTTCGGCTCCTGCTGATGCTTTCAGAACGCCTTATGGTGGTACTTGAAGGCCTCCGCGCGCATCAGACCTCCGCCGAGTCATGTGCGGCACTTCGCAGCAGCGGCAGTAGCAGCAGTAGCAACGGATGCTCCGTTTTTTCCGTTGCTTCTGCAGCTACGAGAAAGCGGGAGCGAACTTCTACTGGTCATCCGTGAGGTGTTGCAGCAGCTGTTGCTAGCCTTGCGGGAAACGCACAAGCGACAGATAACTCACAGAGACATCAAGCTGGTGAGTGGTACGATGCACTGTGGTCTCCTAGAACAATGAAGATGAGACAGGGGGATAAGTATGTAGACATGCAGAGATATCGAGGCAAAAATAGTGAGAGGTGGAGGTGCGGAAAGATAGAGAGGGAAGTTTAGAGATCCATACTTACAGGCAAACTGAAGACTCAACGTCTTTACTTGCCCATGAGTACTCGCCGCATGTATGCTACTTTCTTTCTTGTGCAGCATTTGTTACTGCTGCTGTCACCACTGCTGCTTCCACTGCTGTTGCTGCGTAGGAAAACGTTTTGCTTCATCCGTCCCTGCCCCTTGCTGTTAGACTGGTCGACTGGGGCAGCGCTGTCACCAACGACACGGCGTCGCCTGTGGCCCTTGGTGAGCGATAGAAGGCTTTAGAGGGCTGTTAATTGGTTTTTGCGCCAAGTTACTTACTCGTGTCCGTGTAGCTTTAAGCGTGGAGCCCTTGTGACTAAATTATACAGTCCAGTTATCTTTTAGGGCGCTTTCTTTTAGCCAGGCGAGTAAAGGCAGTTTGCATACATATATGGTTTTAGATGCACCCTATTGTATACAAGCTTGCGTATGCGTAATCTGGACAAGGGCAGCGCCATTTATTCACTAACTCGTGCGTCTGCTACCTCTGCACAGCCTTAAAGGCTCTATGGGGAGAAGAAGCCCCTTCAATACTAGAAGAGTCTGACGGTTACCAGCCTCCAGAAGTTTGGGCTCAGGCCGCAGCGCAGGCAGAACTGAAGGCAAGCCTCCACAAGCAGCATTACCACCACGATCAACAAGAGAAACAGCACTGTGATGGAGACTGCAGCGCCACCAATGGCAGCCAAAACGGAGGCAACGGCAACATCAGTAATGGCCACAACAACAACGGCGCCGGCAGTAGATACACCAATAGCAGCGACAACACCAACAGCCAAACAAAGGCCGACAGAGATTTGCTGCATAGACCACCTTCGCACGACATGTGGGGTGTTGGAATGATATTTCTTAAGTTGGTGCTGGGCACTCCCTCACCATTGGAACCACTAGACGACAGGCGACGGGCTAAAGTACGAACGCGTTGCTGCTGTTTTTTTAAATTTGTACTGTTGCTGGTGCTGCTGGGCGTGCTGCCATGCACGGAGTTTACGTATGGGGGCGTTTGCTTTGCTCTTGTTTTCAGCTGTCTCAAGCTTATCAGGGCAAGCCGCCTGAGGTGTTGCGTCACGACTTGCAGATTCTGGCATTGAGTGATTTATGCTTGATTCCATGGGCTTCTGATCGCTTGCCTGCTGCTGCTTCGCCAACGGCTGTCGCTGCTACATTTCAGTCCTTCGCTTTCGCTTCTCTAAAGTCTGCTGTAGTGACTGCGGCTGAGAGCTTCTACCTGAACTGGGTGGCACCATATAGGGAAAGAGCGAATTCGACAGAGGACCACAGCAAAGAACTTCTCCAAGGTGACGTGGAAAAGGTTGAGATGCGAGAAAAGGAGAAGAAAAAGGTCTGGCAAAGGACCAACAAACAGGAAGCGTCAGTTAATTTGCGACGGCGTCCTTTTTTTGGGATTTGAGCAGCTTTGAATGAAACAGTATAAACCATATGCACATGCGTTTGCCCGTGTTTGCGCTTGCCTTCACGTTTGAGGCGCATTTGCTTTTTTTGCAGCTGCTGGTGATGCGTTTGCCGCTGTTGTTATTGCTTCATTCCCTTTAGGAAAAGGGGCTGGGTCGGGATGATTTGCTTGCGCTTATCTCCCGAGTTCGCGGGTTTGCTGGGGGGAGCGAATTGGTGCTGCGGCAACAGCAGCAGGCACTGCAGCGGCCACAAACAGCAGGCCTCTTTAGCGTAGATGAGGATGACGACGACGCCCAATACCTCTTTACACAAAAGGGACAGACAGCGCAAAACAGACAACAGTACCGAGAGTGCGATGAAGCCCTCGTAAGATGCTTACGTCGCCGCTTTCTGCTCTTCGGTGCTGTTGTTATTGCCATGACTGCTGTTCAGCAACAGTAGTCAAACATAGTGCAAAGGGGTAGAAGCAAACGGTAGCCGTGGCCAAAGAAATGATATGGTAACAGTATCGAACTGGGGCATCGCCAAGCAGCCGCATCACCAAAAATCGACGTCGCTCTCAGAACACCACTGCTAGGCGGTGTCGCTTTATGGTGACGCTGGTACTCAGCAGTGTTCCCCTTAGGTCGTGTTTCTGTCGCTATGTGTTCTGACGCTGCTGAAGTAATTTGTGCTTCCGATGCAATAGCATTTGCTTGAGCTGGCTAATATTGGCCGCATTTGTTGCTCTTATGTGCACTGCTGCCCCTGCAGTTCGCAGAAATACTGAGGTTTCGAGACCCTGCAGGCGTCGGGGTGCCCAATCCGTTGGCTCGCGATCTTCTCAGGAAGCTTCTGGCTTTTGACCCCCAAGTGAGTCGTGGTTATAAGCTGCACGGCTTTAAAGGGAAAGCTGCTCAACAGGCATGACAGACGTTTTTGTTTAGGCGTGCTTCTCGTGGTGCCCTCACTTGATGCCCAGTAGCACAAAGGTGATTAATTATACAAGCGTACATATGTGCTTAGGTTTGTACATAATATAGGTTCGTATGAACTAATACGTCCACGCATAAAGACGGCTACAGCACATAAGAGATATCCTAGGTGTCTCGGAGGCTTTGTGGAGGGCGCTGTGAATGTATTTGGCTTATGTTGCCTTACGTAAGTTGTCAAATGAATGCGAATGTGCAGGAGAGGCTGTCAGCTGAGGCAGCACTGCAGCATCCTTGGTTTTCGGTCTCAGCCGCTGCTGCGGGCGCGGTGAATGAGCAGCGCGCCTCACAGCCTCCATGAGCCTTTGGTATCTCTTTTGATGCCCCGAAAGTTTTTTTGGCTCCCGTTGCTTATGCAGCTCATTGCACCTCAGAGCATCTTTAGTGGCTGGAACAAGAGGAATGGCTGTGCAGGCACCGCATTGCATTCATTGCTTCTTAGAGACATGCTTGCCTTCCCAAGTAGCCAGGCAGCGATTCACCGCTGTACATATCTCAGGATCCTGTGGCCCATGTTTCTCGTCCGCCTTAGTATCATAAAGAGTTGACCCATGATGAAGTAGGCAACCCTTCGCACGACTGCCGCTCATTTGCCCGTACACAAAGCGGCAAAGTGACAAATGACGAGCGCGCTGCTCGTTGAGCGGGTTATTGTGCTGTTGGCAAGGAAAGGAAGCACCAGTGTATGCATGCGTGGGTGCATGCAAAAGCAGCCGCGGTAGTAGCGCGGGACATGTACTTCTTCCATGTTAGAACGCATTTGAGCCACTGGACTTAATGCCGTGAAGCAGCAGGTGGGGTGTGTTTAACCCGGTATGTTCGTGTACATCCTCTTTGTGCACT